CCCACTTTTTCATAAACACGTCACTTTTTACGTCAAAGCAAGTAAAACAACACAAATGCTTTCAGGGAGAGACTTTCTGAAGGTGTGTATGAGTAGGCAAATGGGAACCTAGCTCAGGTTGATAAGGTGTTTATATGTATATATAGCACTGACCTTTTGCCATTTGTGTTTCTACCATTTCTAAGATTTGTCTTTCTTTCCTCTCTCTATGACAAAAGGACACTCAGAAACCTTCAAGCCTGTTTCCAGTGAACCCCACCCATGCTATTAACATGCAAACTGACACACTCTGAGGTTAGTCTTCGCATCTTTTTTTATTTGTGAAGTCCTAAGAATGCGAAGGTTGTTTTTAAAAAAATCAAATGTAGTTTAATTTGTACTCCACAGGGGTTACATTTAGTTTGTTGTATTTCCTTTTAACTTATACGTGGTTGTCAAACTGTAACTGTGTAAGGAGCAGCAGATTATTAATTAATTCAGTCAAACTCATGATTTGTCTGACTGCAGAGAGAAATGCAGCTATTTCCTTGAACAATATCACTCTTGAGGTTTTGTTTTGAAGCAGTGCAAGATTGAAAGTGGACCTTGGAAGCTAGGTAGACCATTAAATATTGATTTACCAACCCTATCAACTCTTGCAGACATATGGTGGTTATTTATTTTTATGTGGCAATAAAACCTGAGTCACTGCCTCTTTAAGCACACATGAGCCAAAAAGAAAACAGTTCTGTGCAAAGAACTGAGAAGAAATGTGACTTTAAAGACGTGGTTCCCTCTTCGGTTCTGTGAACTCAGGGTTGACCAGTCCTGTCGCTCTGCAGCAGACTCATGCCGTGGCCCTAATTGCCCCGCAGCGCTGTGTGGTGGCAGCAGACCTGGGGGTTTGCTGCTATTAGCGCTCAGCTGGTGGGAGGGGCAGGCACTGAAATGTTGCCTGGGACTCACTGGGGAGTCGTGTTAAGGTCAGACTGTCCGCTGTGGGTCCTTCAATGTGTTTAAACACTCAAATACACGCCATATGTACTGGAGCTCAGTGCAAAAATGTGTGAGCAGATGATAAATAAAGTGTCCTCGGAGTTTAGCATACATGTGAATTTTTATATTGAAAACCAGTTCAATAGTTTGTACATTTTATAGCAAATTAATCACTAACTTAAAACAACACCAAAAAATGGAACCTGTCAAAAGAGAGTGTGTTGTTGCTGCTGAATTTACACATTGATGTTACATCAGAAAATTTTGTTTTCTTCTTCAGTACACAGTTTCTACAATTAATGTGGACATAAGACGATGTAAGATAGACATATGGACCTACTTTTTGAGCCGTGCGGCAGTCCACTCACAAAAGATGTGACGTTTGTGTCGTCAGTTTGGGGGTCAAACTGACGTAACTGACTGTAGACAATTACATTTAGGAATTTTGACCTTAAAAAAGAAATTAGATGAGCACATTTGAGCACTAAGTACCCCGTCTCCACCAGCAGAGCCCTTTGCATGGTCTTATGGAAGCAAGGATTTGATCTGACACGGTGTCTCCAGCGTTTCAACCGCTTTTTGAGACGTCCACTTCACGTCCATTGGAATAATGTGCTGCGATGTAAATCGAAACAGTTGTCTACACAGTCAGCGTAGCAGCTGGCGAGTCTATTTTTCTCAGTTTAACATGAGGAACAACAGTTAGTGTGTTGGTGGGTGGGTGGTCTACCATCAACACTGAACCTGAGTGCCTCCTGTGTGGCTGCATAGATGCTATGATGCTGCTAAATGTGCAGCTCATCCCACAGTTTGTGTAGACGTGGTTTTACACTTTCTGAGTACATGACGATACACCAGAGTTTAGTGTAACTGTTGTAATCTGGTGAACATGACAAATAAAATAAAACA